CCGCCAGCGACTACTGCTCCTAACACGATGTACAACAGCAGGGCGTAAGGACCAGCAGTCCGCTAGGCGGTGCCCATATTGAGGTGTTCGTTCCTCTACCCCGGAAAGAGTCAGCTTAGAAGGAGCGTCCGGGCAAGTATGATGATAACGAGAAAAATGTAGGATATAATGGCGTGAATTTCATAACTTCAGGTAAGCGGGAAATTGTTACTCGTAATTTTGCCCAGACACTGCCTTTTAAGGCAATGTACGAACAAATTTGAATCATTGCTTCTTGCCTTATTCAACCGCATTCTTGTTGTCAAGCTTGAGTATAATAGCCAATGAGAAAATTTTAAGAAACAGCACGCGCGTAAGCACGGTCAAAGTTTCTATGTTGATTAGGAAGCCGAGGATGACAATCTGGACTGAAGAAAATTCTGCGCAGTGTGTTTTTGTCTTGGAAGTAATGTAAACATGCCATTGCAAGGGAAGCGGTAAGAGAGCGATCTTTTGTCTTTTGCATGGAACAATGTTTTGCAAGGGCCTATCATGAGTGTACTTTTCTTCTTCTGACCAAGTAATGGTAAATCCTCTAATGTCATCTTCAATTTTGGAGTGGTGTCGTTGCGGTGATTATACAAGAAAAAAAGAGTCAAACTCTCGAAGTAGAAGAAGTCTAGCTTTTTTGATTATGCCATTGAATTACTTCGTCGCACTTAAGTTTAGGTGGAAGATCAATTCGTACATACCTCTGCACCTTCTCATCAGCTGTTTCGATAGGACGAGCAAGCGCTTCTTCAGGAATAGCTTCGTCTATTTTTTCAAACAGTGGTGGATTTTCCAGTTTTCCAAGATCTGTCTTGGACTCCACTATGGTTTCGGGGATCTCCCATTCAGCGGGGCAATCAGGATCCTCCTCTATCGCAGCATTAGCTACAAGAAAGCTGACGAAACAAATAAAGAGGAATATCAGCGACATATGCAAGACCGAACAAACTCTGCCTTACGACCAGAATGGATACGAAGAAGACCCTTCTGATGAAATTCTTAGCCCGCTTATCAACACCCAGCACTTTTTACAAAACCGGTATTTGACGTTGGTCGAATTTGTCCCCGATTCTTGCAGTGTGCTCTGGGCGGCCGCAAATTGACAGCAAACATTGCCCTCCAAAAATCAAAGTAAAGAATTCACATATTTCGTTTCTTCTTCAAGTGATGTTTAAACCTTATCCTCCAAATTCAATCTCGCAAACATTTTAGATCGGAAACCGATTTTTGATAATTGTAACATCGACAAACTAATGTGCTATCCACGGTACTGTACCACTCTCATGGAGGTAGAGTAAGATCATAGCAAACACAATATCGTTTAGCCATCTTTGCTCTCGATTTAGAAAAAGGGACGGATGTTGAGAGCAGGATAAAGCTTTAGGAGTGTGGCATAAAGTAAAAAGTGGTAGCAAATCGACTCTTTATCTTTCTCTCAGTTGAATCAATCTCTAGGTCATGCAGGTGACTACTACAGTACCAATACCTTGTCAAGAAATTATGAAGAGCTCCTTTCCATACTCCACACGAGGTTTGGCCAACAGACCAATAAACTCGCAGAGTCTTTAGCTCTGAGCGCTTCACAGTG